AACAATGGACATGGACAACAAAGCTGGGGACATGGCGGGGAGGGAGGGGAAAGAGGATATCAGTGGGGGGAAAAGGAGAAACATCTGTAACAAAAATAAATAAATAAATAAATACAATTTAAAAATAAAGAAAATTAGCTTAATTTTGGTTAGTAACCTAGGTTAAAAATTTTTTAAAAGGTTAATTTTACTCTGATTTATAAACCTTTTTCTTTTTTTTTTTTAGGTTGGCTTATTGTATTAAGAACATGTAGAATGAGATCTATCCTCTTAACAATTTTTCATGTATAATATTCTATGTTGATAAGTACAAGATTATACAGCAAATCTCTAGAGCTTGTTTATCTTGTCTGACTAAAACTTTATACTTATTGATTAGTAATTCTCATTTCTCTTCCCCAACCCCTGGCAACCACCATTCTACTCTGTGATTCTATGAATTTGACTACTTTAGATAACCTCATATAAGTGAAATCACACAATATTCATCTTTCTATGACTGACTTATATCACTCAGCATAATATCTTCAAGGTCCATACCTGCTGCTATAAAAATTAAAAGCAGGAATACCATGTGATCTGGTAATCCCACTTCTGAACATTTATGCAAAAAAATTGAAATCAGGACCACAAAGAAATATTAGCCCTCCTGTGTTTACTGCAGCACTATTCACAATAGCTTTGGTATAAAAACAAACCATGAGCCTATTGACAGATTAATGGATAAAGAAAATGTATATACATACAAAAGAATGTTATTCAGCTTTTAAAATAAGGAAATTCTGTACTATGCAAACAACAACAAAACATGCAAAAAATCTTTTCTTTAGTTTCTGAAGGTGGCAGTTCCTTAAAGGTTAGTTGCATGTGAAATTGGAAACCATATTAATGAGCTCTTCATACTCTTGTAAATTAAAATCCATTTCTCTATCTTGCATTTTAAATGCGTCTTCTACCTATGCATGATTTTAACATCATGCTTTGGTCGTTTAGAAAATAGTAGCTTAATGAGTTATTCATATTTTCCAAACATTGGCACATATCACTGTACTATATTGAAAGGTCAGTTTTATTAATGTCACCATGAAGCTCATCAAAAATCTTTAAGTATTGAGATAATAACTTTTTTAAAATTCTAATTATGACTTGAAAGAGTAAAATCTATCATTGATAACAGATATTATCAGTCATTACCCTGAGCATGATGGATTCACTCATTTGCTTTATTTTTAAGCAAATTATCTGCCATGTACTTAATCTTAATAACTACACTTTGCCAGACATTGTTTCCCCAACCCAGTAAAAATGGTGTTTCAAAAAAACCAGCTGGTTTAACCTGCAAATCATGCCAGTGCTTTTACTTGAAAGAATTATCATATTATAGTATGCAGCTGTCATGTTTGATACGTATTTTTCATTTTGACACACAGAATAGTAAAACTTATTTATATAAAGGTTAATGTTGATAAAATTATCCATTAAGGTTCAAGAACATTCTTAAATAAAAGTGCATTGTTCCTGCTGTGATATATGGTAGTAAAGAATACAATAACTTCCACTGCCTTTAATTATGCTGAAGCACTAGAACTTTTACCCACCATTGTTTTTTTGGTTTGGTTTTGTTTTGCCATCTGGGCACATGTCAACACAGTGAAAATGGTAAATTATGTCTTATGATTATGAAAGCAGTTTTGACCTTGTAAATTCCATGAAAAGATTCTGCTGGAATAATGTTTCTAAAGCACAATTTTTCTCATGTCACCTCCCTGCTCAAGAGATTCAATTGTTTAATATTTTCAACAATAAAGAAATTTTTTTTTTTAAAGATTAAAACAAATAATTCAATTGTTTATCATTGCCCACAGGGAATTTTAAAAATTGAACTTTTCAACCTAGAATTTAAACTTAATACCATCTTACATTAGTTTATCTTTTCATTCCATATGCTCCTTTATGCAAATTGGCTCTAGACAAAGGAAGTTATTGTTAGACCCGTTATAAATCTTGGGAGTTTGCAGTTTCTTTCAGTGGATGATACTAGTTCCATTGCCTGCGCCTCACCTTCTCTCACATTCTTTATATATAGGTCCTGCCTTTTCTTAAAGTCCAACTAAAATGAGGTCTAAGTGGCCACCACAGATCTCCCTTCTGAAGGCATACACAACTTTGTACCTCTCCCACGTCACTTATTTTCTACCTGGTAATAACCTCTCATTCCCTGAAGCCCAGTAGGATGCCTTACATACAGTTGGTGCTTAGTAAATACTTGTTGAAGAAACAAGTGTTTGCATTGAGCTGTTCATTTACATGTTTCATTGCAGCTGCCAGATGAGATTTCTAGCTGAAGTTGGGGTTAATGTTCCCTGAATAAAATTCTTTTTGCTGTGAAGCCTATTATAGTACAAGGCCATTCAACTCATAGCATTGATCTCATTAGCCAGTCTGTTCTCCTTAACATTCTGCCAACTAAAAGCATAAAGACATTAAAACACTGTGAACTGTATAGAGTATTGTTTTTTTAAAAGTTACGTTTGATGGCTTATTGAGGTAAAATTCCCATTTAGTTGTTATTATTATTATTAATTATTATTGGATGTTGGCTAAATTACTCAGAATATAAGAATTACCCCTTAAACATATCATCTTATTATTTTTCTTCTGATTTCAAACTTAAATATTTATGGACCGTAATGAAGTATAGTTTGATTCTGAAATACACGTACCTAAATCATTTTGTGTGGATTATCAGTTAACACAAGAGCAAGCTAAATATGCTGCCTATGAATTACATTTGAGATTAACAAAAGCTTGTCTTTGAAGGAATTTCAGAAAGCTAGTTTCTTTTCACAGAAGACCCTAAGAAAAATCTAGAATATAAAAACAAAACAAGGTTTCAATTCATTTCTCCATTTATCTGTCTAAATTGGGACAAAATTTTTCATATTTTGTTTTTAGTGACTGCAGGTATGGAAGGATAAGGTGCATGTCTTACCTGGAAGTAAATAATTGGTGCTTATTTTACTATCTTTTGAACCTTGAGAAAAAATGTGTATATACTTTCTTTCTAGGTAAAATGGTATTTATAATGGATATATCAAAGAACTTATAAGTAAAAGTAAAAGCCTTCTGTTATTAACAACCAAATAATTAACTGAAGGAGTCAATGAAATATATTCCAGTATAAGCAAGTCCAGCATAAGTCCTTGCTGTGCTAAGTCCAATGGTCTAGAGAAGAGTCTTGCAGATTCCATATCTTGCATATCAGTCTGGAACCAGAATTCAGATGTGCCCTTGTAGTCTGGATGACTTTACAAACTCAATCAAATAGTGCTTGCTCCATAATAAGCTATTACTCTCATGGTACTGCTGCTATTAAGTTGGACAGCAGAACCCCAGAGAATCTAAGATCTAATTACTGATGCCCTTGCTACTACTCTCCCCATTGCTAGTGGGGCGCTTACTGCTAGATATTCCCAACAGTTGGTAAGTGGAGTTGGGTCTCTGAGTTCAGTCACTCCTACCACAGCTAGATCTATTCAGCTCTTCTGGGGGAAATACTTTTCCAGATATTGTGGGAAGCGGAAGGGTGATCAGTTCCCTTCGCTACCCATTGCTCTGTTTAGCCTAATGTGCTCCACGCCAGCTGATTCTAATAGCTTTCAGAGCCTCTCCTTTACAATCTAAGCTTCAGGAAATTTTGTTAGGGACAGTTTCCCTTGTTTGTTGCATCTTGGAGCTAGTGCTTCTGCCTCCTTTACCTGACCACTTGGATTAGTTCAGAGGCCAGACGTGCTTCCTCTCTTTCTGCCTCCATGGAAGTTGTGCCTTGTAGCAAGTCTTCCCCAAAGGTTCCATTCACTTTGAGCTCACTTTCTGCAGCAGTTTTCAAGTGTACATTTGAACAGGTTCCCATTCAGAAGAGGAAAAAGATAAAATTCTGCTTTTTCTTAACTACAACTCCAATAGAATTATAAAATTTTAATTTGCTAAAAGATGCCTACTTATTAAATATTACGTTAGTTCTATCCTGAACTCACTCAAATTAGTACAAGCATTTCCTCCTCCACAAACCATTCTATGTAGATTTTCTTCGTACTCTGATTTTTCCTGAAAAGCAGACATTTCTATTTAAAATATTATTTTGATCAATCTGGGACTTGGAACATAGAAGCAAATACTGTAAACTAAAATAGTTGATTATTAAATCAAGAAAGGTATCAGCTCTGGTACTTTTCTCCCACAGATGTTATAGTTGAGGTCAATTTCTAATCAGTGACAATTTCAGTTTTTGTTGAAAGAGTCCTGAATTATTTTTTTCTATATTCCTTGAGTTCTGGCTAAGCAGTGAATTCAGAGCCCAAGGAACTCAAATTACAAGAGAAAGTTTATTTATAAAGTCACGGAGGTAGAAAAAGTGAGCCAGCTGGGTTGCATGGGCTCAGGAAACAATATACAGAAGCAAAAGAAGGGCCCTTGGAGTTTAGGAAAAAGAATGACAGAAAGAGCAAACCTGGGGTAAGGAGGGAAGGAAAGGCATGGGCATGCTCCAGAAAGAAAGGGGACTTGCTGGGGAAAGAATGAGGTTGGAAAAAGTGTGTGTGTGTGTGTGTGTGTGTGTGTGTGTGTTTAAGAGACAGACAGACAGACAGATAGAGACCTGAGTAATTTGAGAGAAAGTGAGGGGAAATCCAAAGGAGTAGAACCAAAATTAATTATTGAATTAATCCAGTCATTGCATATACCAAGGAAGGAATGTATATGCATATCCTTTAGGGTTTCTACATGCATGTTATACTTATTAGTAGCTTACTGCATTTTATTGCATTATTTAATAAATATTCCATATGAATAGATTTTAACAGACTTGTGAGATGGAATATTTCCATTGATAGACTTAAGGTGACTTTTTGGTCTCCTCATCCCATGTAAACTGTACAAGTAGTATGTGTATTTTTACATTTCTTTGACTGCTATATATATTTTTATTATGTTTTGCCTAGTTGGATACACAATGAATGACCTCATTTTTGAATGGCAAGATGAGGCACCTGTACAAGTGGCAGAAGGACTCACCCTGCCCCAGTTTCTGTTGAAAGAAGAGAAAGATTTACGATACTGTACTAAGCATTACAACACAGGTAGGGGCTGACTATTCTTCATTACATCTACAATTTGTGGTTTTATGATAGATGTTTCTTTTAAAAATATTTTTTTTTCCTTTATTGATTTTAGAGAGAGAGGAAATGAAAGGGAGAGAGAGATAGAAACATTGATGAGAGAGAACTTTGATTGGCCACCTCCCTCGTGCCCCCCACTGGGGGTCAAGCCCACAATCTGGGCATGTGTCCTGTCCAGGAATCGAACTGGTGACCTCTTGATGCATGGGTCAATGCTCAACCACTGAGCCACACCGGCCTAACAGATAGATGTTTCTTAATTGTAGTGTTAGATTAATTATTTCCACTGTGTGTAGCTCAGTGTTTCTCATAGTAATAAAGCAGAACATGGAAACTTACAGATGAGATGCTTTGCCTTATTGCCTATTGTTATATAATCAGTTTTTATGGGACCAAAGGAATGCTTGGTGTTTAATTATGTTTACAATTTTTTTCATGTGAAAAGCTTAAAATTACAAAGTAATGGTGTTTCATATAAAAATATTCCTTGAATTTTGATGTGAGTGATAAAATGTCCTTTTTAGCCCCTCTTGGGAAGTAAACATTGTGTTTGCTAACAAAATGAAAGAAATTGCTTTTTTATTTTTTAAGAAGTCAGTTGCCTAAACATTTGGCCACAATTTCATGCATTTTAAGGTATTGTTACTTAAATGCCTACTATTCACACTGACACAGTACCCTTTTGCCTTTGAGGATAGATGTCAAATGTAGTTACCCATATCAAGCATTGAAAGATTCAATGTGGTAGTCATACATTCATGAGATCTGTCCACTTCTCTCATCTGGCATGGGCTATTCCCATAATATATATTCTTTCTAACCTATTCCTACAAATTCTGTTAAACTGTCCTCAGTGAAGGCATCCCTCCAATGTGGTTAGTGCATGGTCTCCCACTCGCATCAGCTGCTGCCTTTATAAATTTATTACATTAACTTATTCCTCTTGGACTCAGCATTTCCCAGAACTGTGATAGAATCTTTTACTGTGAAAGGCTGCAATCTTTTTTATCTCCTCAATCAATTCACAGACTCTGATGAAAAAGTCACTGCCATTTTCTCACCCCTTACCACATTTCTTCAGGGCTGAGGCTGATAAAAATTTGGTAGAGCGCTCAAGATTAACATCTTAACACAATGATAAAAAAGCAGGCTGTTCGATACCAGTGTTCTTCCTCAATTCTCTAGGGGCAGCTGCAATGATAAAGAACTTTCACAGGAATGTTAGAAAATCTCTAGAGTTGGTTTCAGGCAGTGGGTTAGTTTCTTCGGGCTGCTGTAACTAGGTGGCACAAACATGGGAGTGTCTCTTGCCCATCTCTCTAAAACCTTCTTCTACCTCTCTCTGCCTTGCCCTGTAATCTGACTATAGTGGCTGACTTTCTCATGTTCACCATACTCATTGCTCCTTCAGATCCTTTGTACTTGCTCTTTCTTCTATACATAAGCCTCTTCCCCCAAATTATCCTATTACTCTCATATACTTCAGGGTTGGTCAAATATCAACTCCTCAAATGACTCTTCATTACAAGCACCTGCTAAGTACCCAAATCCACTCTCCTTCCTCTTCCTGCTTTCACTATTTGAAATTATATCTTCAGTTTACATGTTTACTTACATATTGTCTGTGTCTATCATTATTGTAAGTTTATAAAGCTAAGGATTGTATCTCTTTTCATTTCTGTACTTCTGGGGTCTGCTGAAGTACACAGATGCTCAATAAATGTTTATTGAGTAAAATAATAGAGTGGATTCAAACAGGGAAAATGTGTCTGTACACATGAGAATATTAAAACCTGCCCCCACAAGGAGGTGGGGGAGGTACAGTTTTGCTCTTAACAGAAAAATTTTCTTTTAGATCTATATTAGCAAGAATGCTTCTCCTCTAGTTTTACTGAGGAATAATTGACATACAATTATAAGATAATTAATGTACCATGTAATGATTGATGTATTTATACACTGTGAAATAGTTCCCTCCGTTGATTTCATTAACATATTCATCACCTCACATAGTCAACTTTTGTGTGTGTGTGAGAACATTTAAGTTCTAGATTCCTAGCAAATTTTAATTATACAGTACAATGTTATCAATTATACTCACCATGTTAAATAGTACATCCTCAGATTTATTCATCTTATAATTAAAGAATGCTTTTAAAAAATTAACTTTGAGATATAATTTACATACTATAAAATTGTTTAAAGAATATAGCTCAAGCTATATTCCTTCACTCAGCATAATGTTTTTGAGTTTCAGCCTTGTGGTAGCATGTTTTAACACTTGATGAATTCTTAAGGATTTTCTATATGTGAGATAATGTATTCTGCTTTTAAAAATAGTTTTACTACTTCTTTTTCAATCTAAAACTGTTTTATTTAATTGTTTGCTTAATTACCTGGCTAGAACCTCCCAGTACAATGTTTCATAAAAGTGACAAGAGAAGACATTTTTGTCTTCTTCCAGAACTTAGTGAGAAAGCTTTCTGGTTTTTACTATTAAGTGTGATGTCATCTGTAGGTTTTTCATAGATGCCTTTTATCAGGTTGAGAAAATCCCTTTCTATTTCTAGTTTGTTGAGTGTGTTTATCATGAAATGCTGTTGGATTTTTGACAAATGCTTTGCATCTACTGAGATGATCATATAGATTTTGTCTTTATTCTGTTAATGTAGCATATTACATTTGTTGATCTTTGGATAGTAAATCAAACTTGCTCGCATTTCATGATACATTTTACTTAATTATGCTATATAGTTTTTTCCATATGGTGCTGAATTCAGTTTGCTAGTATTTTGCTGGTGGTTTTGCATTTATATTAATAAAAGATATTAGCTCTTTCTATTTTTTTCTTGTAATGTCTTGGTCTGGTTTTAGTACCAGGGTAATATTGAGCTCATTCAATGCTTTAAAAAGTGTTCCCTGCTTTCTATTTTCTGGAAACATTTATGAAAGATTGTTGTGAATTCTTCTTCAAATGTTTAATAGAATTGAGCTGTAAAGCTTTCTGATCTGGAGTTTCCCTTTGTGACTTTTTTAAATTAGTAATTCGTCTTTACTTCTTATAGGTCTATTCAGATTTTCTATTTCTTCTTGAGTCAGTTTCCATAACTTGTGTCATTCTATGTATTTTCCCATTTCATTGAACTCATTCAACTTGTTGGCACATAATTATGCATATTATTTGCTTATAGTCCTTTTAGTTTCTGTAAGGCCAGTAGTAATGTCCCCTCCTTTATTTCTGATTTATAGTAACTTAATTCCTTTTTCTTTTTGGCTTGACCCATCTCGGCAAGGATACATTTAATTGCAAATTAAAATAACAGACAACCCCAAATAAATAGCTGTAATGCCATAAAATACTCAAAATACAAATGTGCTTTAAAAAGCTCCTTAGTCAATTTGTTTTATTAGTGTTACAATGTCAGGATTTGTACAACTCGTTCATTTTTCTCTCTAGAACCACACATATATACCATTATATTTTTTCCCATTGATAGTCATAAAAACACTTTTTAGAAAGAAAAATTACAGCTTTTTTCTTGAGAATCATATGAATTTTAAAGAATTTATTCAAAGTACACAAATGGTCAGTAATTATTGCTGATTATATCATGAAGTTATATGAATTATTTGTTATATCATGAAAATACTTTATTATTCTTTCTCTATTTTACTTCATTATTTTAAAGAAATACTTTAAAAATTGTATATTTTAAAGAGTTTAAAATTTAAAGGAGTTTCATATTTCAAGAATAATTAGGCATTCTGTATGTATTAGATAAATTGATAAAAGGATCATGTATAGCTTAGATATATGTTTCTGACTACTAGACACTTAAGTGTGATATTTAACTTTCCCAGAGTTTATGAAACTCTGTTAAGACTTATAAGCGCTGGAATCTCATTCCTTCTGCCTGCAACCTGAACCATGTATTATGGTAGTATGTGGCTCAAGTCACAGTAGTAGAAGTTTTGTACTGAACACTCTACTAGCAATTTCCCAGATGTGCTCTTTACTTCTTTCTTATCATAGTTAGATTAGAGAATGTCCCTTAATAAAAAAGCAGTTTATTAACTCTCTGACCTTACCCTAGTTTAAATAATGAGAGAATAAAACAAAAAGTTAGATGATTCAGATAAACAACTAGTTTAAGTAGTGATAATGTGGTAATGGAGTAGGGCATAGAACAAGGGGATAGGCTGCAATGTCAACAAAATGTTTAATTAAACCACAATTTATGTCTCTATTAATTACTTACTATAATATAAACACAAGGGCATAAATATATACAACAAATGTAGCTCTGGTTTCTTTTTAGTAAGCATGTTTTTAAATTATGTTTGAAATTATTAATGGGAAATAACATGTTTTCCTATTTGTTAGCATTAATAGTTTCCACTTTATTAGTGCATAAAATAACTTACAGAAATTGCATTTAAGGAATTATTCAATTTCAATTATACTTATCCATTAGCAGTGACTTTAAAGTAAATGTAAAGGCTTCTGGAACAAATAGTACCTGGCTCTAAATAAATACTTAACAGCACCAGAAACAGCCAATAAACAAGAAAAAAAGCCACTGAGTAATTTCTCCTATCAATCTCAGAGATAATTGTTAGAATCAAGAGAAATTATAGATCTTTGAGTAGTTTGACAAGTACAAAGTACTAATCAAGTGTAAACTAATAAGAATACATGCCCTGGCTGGTTTGGCTCAGCGGTTGGAGCATTGACCTGCGGACCAGAGAGTCCTGGGTTCAGTTCCTGCCAGGGGCACATACCAAAAAAAAAAGAATACATACTATTTCCTGAAATGGTACATTCTCACATTATGGTGCTTATAGATGCTAGCAGAAAAATGAGAAAAAATATTTTTCAGAAATGGACTTGCATATATGATTTAGGATCCCCTTTCATTGTCATGGAAAATTTTAGGACAAAATTATGAAAAAAATTGTATGATATTTGAAGCCATAACAAAGACCTACTTTCACCAATTGCTGCATTTATTTTATGACCAATCAGGAAAGTTTACGTGTATAGAAGTGCGATTCCATCTTGAACGACAAATGGGATACTATCTGATCCAAATGTATATTCCCAGTCTCCTGATTGTTATCCTGTCATGGGTTTCGTTCTGGATCAATATGGATGCTGCTCCAGCCAGGGTAGCTTTGGGAATAACTACTGTGCTGACTATGACCACACAGAGTTCAGGATCACGAGCTTCCTTACCAAAGGTAAGTGTATTCATTGGACATATACATATATTTGCACAAATATTTATATACACATAAGTTGTATACATCTATATAATTACTGGATTTTGTCAGATCTTTTTCTATTGTGCTTATTATTCATTACTGATTTTTAAGTAATATATGAGCAAGGCAGAAAAATTTGTAAAACACAAAAATAAGAATTGATATATATTGCCAAGTTTTCCATCAGAAAAATTTATAATAATTACACTTTCACAAGTATTGTATGAGAGTGCCAATATTGCTGCACTCTGAGTTACTTTGGGGTATATTTTCACCCCCTCTGGCTTTTAAGTAGTAGCCACAGGTCAATAAAAAAATGCATATTTAATACCACAATTTTAGTCCATGCTGAGCTGCCAGAATTAAAATAAACAATTTCCTTTATGAGGTTTGTAAAAGACCCCATCTTTTTTCACAAAATATGCTGAAATAAAACATAGTAGCTCTTTTCATCCATTTAGCAACATAACAATAGAAAATTATTTTCTTCTCAATGACTTCTAAAAAATGTCTACTCTCTAAATTAAAGTAATCCTATCTAACTTCCAACAAGATTCACTCTTTCCATTGTAATGACCAATAGAGATATAATAAAGTTGTATCCTCTGTTCTTGTGCATTTGATGCTATCTAATTGCCACGCCAATTAAATTATAAATGTACAGTCATAGCTCCCTTGATCCTTATTGTGAATTGCAATCTATGTTTCAAAATATTAGATTAAAATGTCCAAATAAATAAAAGTTGATAACAGGACACTATATTACTAAAAATGTTATTTAATATAGGAAGAACTTGATATTTAACAATGTTCACACTGCCTTGCTAAGATTTAATAGGTGTCTTTCAAAATAAGGTTTATTTTAAAACACTGAATTGTATTTTTAAAATTATACGTATCAACTAATTTTTATAAACTATTATCTAAATGGAAATTGTAAATCTGCATATAAGATTAAACTAATTCATCTCAAGACTTATATACACACGGTGGCCAACAGTAAGTTTACAGTTGCATTGTGACATTCTTTCGAGTTAATAAAGCTATTGTAATAATCATAACCTGTATGTCTTTTTCCAGACGAACAACTGTAAACCTACTTTTGCCAACCCCCTGTATATATCTAAATGTCCCAAGGGCTCTCTAAGTAATAAGGTTCAATAGTCAATTTGTGAAGGAAATTGACAGTTTACTTATTGATTTTCTTTAGGAGCTAAACAGAAGTCAAAGCTCATTTTTTCTGTAGTTGTCAACCAGGAAGAACACAAAATGCTTTATATTTGGAAGCCTCAGCTTCTAAGAGACACAACATAAAGGCATTTGGATACAGAGATCAAGTCACAATTGGGAGATCATGAAAGTTTGAGTGGAAGAAACAGAAATAAAAAACAATAAATTATAAAAATAAGACACAAGTTTATTTTAAATAAAAGGAAAGAAGGATTTGGGATGGATTCAAACTTTTTCTCAAAAAATAAAAAATATTTTTTAAAAAGCAATTATTTCACCATAATCTCAGGGGAAAAATGTATTTTTAAAAACATACTTTTATTGATTTTTAAAAATTTTATATATATATATATATATATAAAGAGAGGAAGGGAGAGAGAGATAGAAACATAGATGTGAGAGAGAAACATCTGTCGGCTGCCTCCTACAGCCCCCAACTGGGAATCAAGCCTGAAACCTTGGCATGTGCCCTGACAGAGGATCAAACAGGGACCTCTCAGTCCATGGGACGATGCTCAATGCACTGAGCCACATCAGACAGGCAAGAGTAAATTTTTAACTATGAGTTCAATTAAATACATAAATGTGTAGAACACCTTTACATTTCTCAAATCATAGAGCCAATGACCTTGAAAATGAGATAACATTTAATTCTGAGCCATCAAAAATAGTTGATTAACACATATCATTTTAGGCTTTGTGGATAGTTCAGGAATGAAAGGTTCCTCATATTCAATTATGTACATTAGAATTCAGGGAAGGCAGATGGTGAATAGCAGAATAAACAAGAACTAACCTATTGGATGAAATCATTTAAGAGTAGAACATTTCTTGAAAATTCTGACTCCATGATGGGGTGGAGAGGGACTAGAAAGGTGAGATGTAATGGTCTCACATGTGCATTTTAGAACAGATGTCTGAAACCATGGACCTTAAAATCTGCTATTCTCAATCTGCTATTCTCAACTTCAAAAAAGAACTCTTAGATGCCTGAAAGACTTGTCTCTCAATCACCATATTCCTACTGACAAAAATCTGGCAATAGAAAGACAAATTAAATTCAGGAAAATAATAAGGATTATCAGACATAGGAGGAAGAAACAATAAATCATAACTTTATGGTAATTTCTTAGTGTTTTGTCCAGGTTCTGTGTCAATACATCTCTTGTAGAATATAAAGTATTCAGAGTAGAAAATCTCAAAGAACATGCTTTAGCCAGCATCTTGAAAACTACAGAGCCAAGAGTCCTCTCTGATAATAGCCTCTACAGTGGAATGATAAATTAAGCATGTAATAACCCAGAGCAAGATGACGCCTATGATTCATTTCTTAGACTTGAAACTATTTGGCATTTCTGCACTGCCTTCATTAGTGGCCCCTTGAGGGTAACAACGCATTCTCTTGCTAGCAGCTTTTCAAAGTTTTATATTTTGATGAACACTTCCTAACACTGTGTACCTGGAGAGTGAATGAGAAAAAGTGGTGGTGATTGTGGAACCATATTATGAAGTGTTTTATAGACCTTGGTAAGGATTAAGTTTATTGGGGGTGGACTTTGGAAGGATTTTAATAAGAAGTGTGATCTCTCTGACTTCTATGTGGAAATCAGATAAAGGGGTAGAGGTGGAAACAGAGCAAACTATTATAGTCCAGAGCAGATGGTGATCTGGCTAGATTGGTAGCCGCAGAGGTAGATAGTAGCAGATGGATAGAGATAGGTAGATCTTTTTTGAGAAGGTGTATTTGGAAGTGAAATAGATGTGATTTGCTTATGACATTGGGCATTGAGGATTGATGAAAGGCAGGAGTGAAGTGTAGCATTTGGGTGAGTAACTGGACAAGCAGTTGTGATAGTTACTGATGGGGAAGTAACTGATCTGTGGTTGAACATGTTAATTTTGAGATGTTTATAACTACATGCAAATGCCTAAAAGTCAAAACTTCCTAATTTCTAACATCAGGGACAATATAGGCTTGATACTTTAGGGAGTAAACTGTAGCTAGATAGGGAAGCAGACCAAAGATAATTTTCCCAAATATAAAAGAAAACCCAGAAAAAGGAGACAAAGATGTATTTGTGGTTGGCCCTCCTCCTCTGTTTGGAAAAGGACCTGAATATTAGTCTCCTCTCTCCTTTCTTCCCCCATGGCTGTATCTGCCCCATATACAGAATAAGTTATTCAGTTTAGTTAAAAGTAAGACTCATCCTAAAACTTTTCTCTCAAACTCTTTCAGATCTCAACATTGTGTAGTATTTTTAAGATGTGTAAAAACAATCTTTTCTGACCCAGCTGGTGTGGCTCAGTGGTTGAGCATCAACCCATGCATCAAGAGGTTGTCAGTTTGATTCCCAGTCAGAGCACATGCCCATGTTATGGGCCAAATCCCCAGTGGGGAGCATGCAGGAGGTGGCCAATTGATGTTCTCTCTCATCAATGTTTCTATCTCTCTTTCCCTCTCCCTTCCTCTCTCTCTAAAATCAATAAAGAAGAAAAATAAAATAAAAATTTAAAAAGCAATCTTTCCTGGGAGAATTAAGTTTTAACCGGAGTAAAAAAGGGGATAGTAGTAATCATTTAATTATTTTTTAGTATAAATTTGATTTATACTAATACCTTGTTCTGATCTTGGAACTAGGAGAATTCTTTTCTTTATTAAGTATAGAGATGGGTGAAAAATAAAGAGAAGGGACAAATTTTCATTTTAATTTAGAAACTGTGGGTTCTAGAAAGAACCTGCGACAGGGAACTCTGGGAAAATTAAGGGTATTCTGCAATATTACATACACTTTAACCATTCTTTTCTGCTTCGAAAGAGCAAGTATTTCCTGTTAGAGACCTACTTCCATTCCTTTTTCATTCTATTTCATAGGGACCAGGTAAGGTTTAGCTTTGGTGTGTGTTTTCTGTTTTTTTCTCATTCACAGAAATACGTATCACCATGAACACACTAGTTAAGTCTTTTAGAAATGAGCTTCAAACCTATTATCATATCAAAGACCTTTGAACTTAGGATGGTAAACACAGAGATATGTGCACATGTGCGTGCATGCACACACGCGCGCGCACACACACACACACACAATTAGCAGAGGTGGGGGAATCTCTAGATTCTAAGTTCTCCCAGGCCCTAGCTCTGAACACAATATATTATGATTTGTGGTGCTGTAGGCTCTGTTTAATACAGCTATATTGCAGTTATTCTGCATAACAAACACTCTCCAAATCTAAATGGCTAACTACATTTATTCTTGCTCAGAGGCTTGTGCATTATCTGTGCTTCTTCTGGGCTTCTCTGAGATTGGCTGATTCAAGATGGGCTTGGATTTAGGCCCATCTGTGTGGGCCTGTGAAGTGGGTACAGGTCTGCTCCGTGGGTCTTCCCATTTTGGGACCTCAAGTACCCGTAGCATGTTTTTTCTATGGAAAAGTGCAGGAAAGCAAGAAGGCAATCAGAAACATGCAAGGCTTCTGCTCAGAATTGGCATACAGTCACGTCTGTTCTCTTTCCCTAAGTCACACTAGGGCGGGGGACTGTACTCCACCCACGGGGAACCCTAGGAGAGAAAGGGAGGAAAAAAGGATTGTCAACAAATGAGCTATCTACCTTAGGGACTATGATTCACTGAAACTTTCTATCTCTTTTCTTAGACCAGATTTTGTCATATCAACAAATACTCAGGAAAACAAGAGGGGAAGAAGGGATGGAAAAAAGAAATCAGGAAGCTTCTGTGTGGTTTCTCCCA